ATGACCTGAGCCGAAGGCAGACGCTTAACGACTGAGCCACCCAGGCGCCCTGCATCTATGATTTTATATCTTGCTTTTTTTTTCAATTCCAAGCACTTCAGATGCATTTCCTCATGTTATTAAACAGTCCATATAATGTAATTTTAAAGAGTCGTGTAAGAGTCCTTCATATAGATGGGCTAGATTTTATTTGCCCTTTCTCAGACTTTCGGGGCATTTAGGTTGTATCCAAACTTTTAGCTACTTGAACAGTTTGGTGCGTTAAGTTTGATTCTGATTATTTCCTTAGGCTTGGATTTCTAGAAGCACAATTAGCGTGTCCGAAAGTGAGTATTTTTAAGGCTCTCACTCTGTATCGTCAAACTGCTTTTCCTAACGGTTGTTCCTGCAATGTATGAGATGCTGTTCAGCTTTGCCTCTTTGCTATATGGAAAATGGCCCCTCACTGCTGTTTAGTTTGTATTTCTTTGACTACCAGTGAGGGCAACATTGTAGAGCGTGCTTCTTGGTCATTTGTATTATCTTCTTTTGCAAATTTACTGCTGACATTAATTCTGGCTTGATCATTAACCTGGTATTTCCGACACACAACAGCACCTCACTGTCCCGTGTGGGGCACACGCACCCCCAAGACCAGCTTCTTGTAGCCGGTCAAGAGACCTACGAAAAGCTCAAAGTTCAGACCCAAGTGTGCAAGTGTGAAAGAGGGCCAGGACTCATTTAGAAAACAGGGAAGAGTATAAGATCCGCATAAACCTCTGCGGTTTATACTTGATGAGATTTACCAGAATTAGAGGGAATCCAGTGCTTGGAGGCGACTGAATTGCTGACCCATGAGGCCCCTGAGAGCCAAAAGGGTTACCTGTCCAGATGTGAAGTAGTGACCCACATGAGCATGGGACAGAGGCCTCGGGCTCCCCAGCTGGAGCTACTACTTTTATTTTTTAAAAGACTTTATTTATTTATTGGGGAGAGAGTGAGCACACATGCGTGCATGAGCAGGGGGAGTGGGAGAGGGAGAAGCAGGCTCCCCGCCGAGCAGGGAGCCTGATGTGGGGCTCGATCCCAGGACTCTGGGATCATGACCTGAGCCGAAGGCAGACGCTTAACGACTGAGCCACCCAGGCGCCCCTCAAATATAGTTTAAAACCACTGTACAGGAGTCCTAAAAGTAGCCAGAGCTTGTCTTCTATTTTAAAATAGCTAGCCAATGAATCATTTTTTTTTTTTAAAGATTTTATTTATTTATTTGAGAGAGAATGAGATAGAGAGAGAGAGAGGATGAGGGGGGGGGGGCAGAGGGAGAAGCAGATTCCCCGCCGAGCAAGGAGCCTGATGCGGGACTCGATCCTGGGACTCCAGGATCATGACCTGAGCCGAAGGCAGTCACTTAACCAACTGAGCCACCCAGGCACCCCCAATGAATCATTTATTGTTTTGTTCATTGCTCCTACAAATAACTGTGTAGAAGCTGGAGAAAGGTACCCTGGAGCCAGAAATCATTTACGGTCTTTGCTTCTAGACCTAGAAGGAAACATTTCTCATGTTGTCTTTTCTCTCTACTCCACGGAAAACACTTCCTTTGAAAAACATACACTTTTTTTTTTTTTTTTAAAGTGGGCTCCACGCCCAATGTGGGGCTTGAACTCATGACCCCGAGATCAAAAGTCATACACTCCACCCGACTGAGCCAGCCAGGTGCCCCGAAAGCCATAAACTTTTATATGTTTGTATCAAGGAGTTAAACTCAATTTATTTAAACAAATATTCACTGAGAATGTTTGTCCACGATACTGTCACATTAATAGGACACAATTCCCATCCTCAGGGGTAATTTTTATCTGGTGAGGTAAGGAAGTTTCCACAGAGAAGACATGAAAGGCAGAATGGTAAATTCTTTAACCCAAGGCACAAACATTTCGACTGAAGATTAATGCTGTTAATGTGTTCATTGTTCTTCTGATGCAGATTAGTTTATTTTTACATACGAAGGGCTCTGGGACTAATGAGAAGAAAATTATTTTAAGCATTTAATTTGTAAACTAAATGCATTCTCTGTACAGTAGACCTTTAAGGCATGTGTGTATGCATAGAGAGAGGGAGCAGGTCTGAGCGTGGGATGAAGGGAAGGGGCACCTGGGTGGCTTGATTGGTTGGGCAACTGCCTTCGGCTCAAGTCATGATCCCGGATCCTGGGATCGAGTCCCACATTGGGCTCCCCCTGCTCAGAGGGGAGCCTGCTTCTCCCTCTGCCTGCCGCTCCCCCTGCTTGTGCTCATGCTCTCTGACAAATAAATAAATAACACCTTAAAAAAAAAAAAAAAAAAAGACAGTAAGATTCTATTCCATGCCCTCCCCCCCAAAAAAGAGATTTAAGTACTCAAAATCTCTCGCTCTCTTTCTCAAACAAATAAAATCCAAGATTTTATTTATTTATTTATTTGAGAGCGAGAGAGAGCAAGAGAGAGAGAAAGCATGAGAGAGAGGAGGGTCAGAGGGAGAAGCAGACGCCCCAAGGAGCTGACGCAGGACTTGGTCCAGGGACCCTGGGGATCATGACCTGAGCCGAAGGCAGACGCCTCACTGACTGAGCCATCCAGGCGCCCCTAAATGAATAAAATCTTTAAAAAAAGAAGTATTTGTGGAATGTGATAGGGTGAAACTGAAATTCATATGGAAGGACAGAGGTCCAGTCATAGCCAAGATACTCCTAAAGAAAAAGAACAAAGAGGAAGGACTATCCTTACCAGACAGTAAGACTTGTAAAACTAAAAATAAAGCCAGTAAATAATTATCACAGCAAAAAGCAAACAGACCAACGGACTGAATAAAGATCCTATAAAAAGGCCCTGCATATATACGAAAACCTGACTGTGATGGAGAGAGCACTAAAGATCAATGAGGAAACGCAGGGACTGGCCCATTAATGGTACTGAGACACTAAAAGCGATAGCCCTAAAGGAAAAGATTATTAAAATTTACTGTGGTAAGAGTTTCTGTTCATCAAAAGACACCATAAAAATAAGAGAAACCAAGAACTGGGGAAAATATTTGCAATACATATAGCTGGAAAAGGATTAGCATCCAGAATATTTTAAAAATTCCTACAACCAAGGGGCGCCCGGGTGGCTCAGTTGGTGAAGGATCCGACTCTCGATCTCAGCTCAGGTCTTGATCTTAGGGTTGTGAGTTCAAGCCCCATGCTGGGCTCCATGTTGAGTGTGGAGCCTACTTAAAAAATTCATACAATCAATACAAGGCAACCCAGAAAAAAAGGGTGAAGGACACAAATAGGGATTTAATGGAAGAGAAAACACAGAGGTTCCTAAACATGTTAAAAACATGCTAAACATCATTAAGTGAGCAGTGTCTTTCAATTCAAACATAACCCACAAACTGATCCATTACATAAGCAACGTTGACATGATGAAGACGTGTGGGGATGGGAACCCTCATCTCTGTTGGTATGAGCGTAGGTTTTTTTGTTTTGTTTTGCTTTGTTTTTTTTTAAGCAGGCTCCATGCCCAAAGTGAAGCCCAACACGAGGCTTGAACTCACGACCCTGAGATCAAGACCTGAGCTGAGATTGAGAGTTGGAGGCTTCATTGGCTGAGCCACCCAGACACCCTGACAAGTGTAGGGTTTACAGAAGTGATCTGAAAACAAGCTGGGTGTTCCTTAGCAAAGCTGAACAAGTGCACATCTTACAGTTCAGCAGTCCCACTCTTAGGTACATGCCCTAGACAAGGGCAGACACGTTTCGGAAACACGGACAAGAACGCTCATACAGTTTGGTTCGTCACTGCACAAAACACTCCAACAACCATTAATGGTGCTGTAGACACAGAAACCGAGTTCCACACTAGACATTCCACTCCACACGATGGAATGCCTTACAGCAGTGAAACAGGAACAGAACATAACTCTATGCACCAATATGGATGAATCCCCAAAAATGCTAAGCGAGGAAAGCAAGAGAGAGTATGTGAAATATGATTCCACTTACGTAAAGTTCAAACACAAGAAAACCAAACAATACATACTGTTGAAAAATACAAAGAGTTGATAAATTTATACAGAAAATTAATAGTTCAGGATTTCAGAATAGGGGTTGGCCAGGGGAGGGGTGCCAGGTAGGGAGATGGTGTGACTGGATAGGGGACCCTGGGTATTCTAAGGGGGTACAGGGATGTTCAATTTATTCTTTTTTTTTTTTTATTCTTATGTTAATCCCCATACATTACATCATTAGTTTTAGATGAAGTGTTCCATGATTCATTGTTTGTGCATAGCACCCAGTGCTCCATGCAGAATGTGCCCTCCTCAATACCCACCACCAGGCTAACCCATCCTCCCACCCCCTCCCCTCTAGAACCCTCAGTTTGTTTTTCAGAGTCTATCACCTCTCATGGTTCGTCCACTTTATTCTTTAAATTCTGTAAGACATGAAATATACTATATATATATAGAAAAAAGCACACATAGACACCTTTCTGACCATAACGGGGAATAGGTTATAGGCCAACAGGAAGAACCTTTATCAATGGATTTACAATGTGATTCCCCAGCTTTAATTCATTACCTGTTTTTATCAGAGTGATCTATCAAGGCAGGATTCAGTCAAGCTTAGCAAAAGAGCTTGCATAGCCCGGCCAGATGATAAACACGACCTCGAACGAGAAGCTGTAAAAAGCCCTACAAGGTCACGAATGGCTTCTCTCTGCCTCAGATGTCAAAATCTCAATTAATTAACTCAGCTAAACAGACAAGAGCTGAAGGCAAGATGCTAGGCGAGCCTGCGATTATCACACGCTGGAACTATGATTAAGTAACAGAAACGCACTTCAAATGGCTAAGGTTGACAGTGACCGCTAAAGGATACTTGAAAAACAGAAGTCTTCCACTACACGTGTATACCTTGCTCTGGGAAGAACGGACACCTGCTTGAAGTTGTCATTCACAGAACTGAATTCTTTTGCCGAGCGGTATTAAGTGCTCACCTGTGTTTGACCATGTTTTGATCATGGCAGAAATGACTAAAGAATCTCGCGTAGAACAAATGCATGACGGCGTGTTCCTTCCCTCCGATGTACAAATCCACAGGCATCCAGTAATCTGCCAACGCTGCATTAAAAGGGCTGCAAGAGAGAGAAATGGTCATTTTTTACAAACCTGCTTTGCTACAAGAACACAAATTAGCAGACCTATTATATAATTCGCATATACCCTGAGACAAATAAAGTCAGAGAAAAACAGTGATTTTTCTTTTTAAAATATAATAAGAGAAAAGCTGATATAATAAAGCAGAAAAAAGTCAGGTCGGTGTGAAATTATGAAATGTATAAAAACTGTTTCAGAAGCCATTACTGACATTTTAAAAAATGCGATTTTCATTAAAATAAGGACAAAAGGAAAACACAGCAGCATAAAAAGGGTATTTCTGTGAAAAAGGTTATTTCTGTAAGATGCGTATTTGAACATCTGGATTTCTATTTTAATTTTTATTGCGATTAGGCATATTGGGATTTGTGAGCTCTTACCAATAGGGGGCAATATGGCGTTTACAAAGGAGATTAACATGCAGCCACTAAATGTTCATTTTAAAACACAAATTCCATCTTATTTTTAAAAGCAGCCTTAAAATACAGATAGTCAGCAAGAGCCTGTATATGGTCTCCTGCGTGCAAGGAGCATATTTAGGGTAACAAACATAAAATCACCCAACATCTCCCTCTCCCCTAACAGATACTGTCAGTGACAGAAATCCTACAAGAAAGGCTTCCTCGGACTCCCTGGTCCTAATGGGTGCTGGGGAGTAAAGCAAACACCACTTCCCTCTATTCTCTGGCTGGGACTCTTGAGAGGAGAGTCTGTGAGTGTGCAGAGGTGTGTGTATGTGTGTGTGTGTGCACGCACGCATTGTGGGGAGGGGAGCAGAGTGGGCTGAGCACCTTCAATCTCAGGAGAATATGCTTCCTAGAGATCTTCCGATAAAGCAAATCTCTGCCTTTGGAGGATTTGTACTCCATGGTCTCAAATATTTGTAAATTCTCTTCCCTACACCACAAGGCACTTTTTTTTTCCAGCATGGACTTGGCTCAGCAGGTAGGCCTGGCCAACCGCCCCGCATTTGTATCTTAATGCAGCTTGCTTCTCTCCAGTCACTAGGCCAGAATTCTGGTAAAATTAAAACAATTTTTTTTTCCCCTTTGTGAACAACGGTTCCTCCCCATCTAGGGAGGACAAGAGCTGGTGCTGAAACTCACAGCTGCATTTTATGAGGCAAAAGATGTGCTAAATGGTATTCCCAGATCAGAGGCTGGGAAGGCCTCAGATGTAACTCTCTGGGTCCAGGGTCCATCACTGATGTAGAGCCTCCATCATCTGTAAGAAGATTTTCCTCTGAAGCATTCTGACAGGTAGGGCCTGATTGCCTTGGCATTCTAAGCAACTGCTAAAGAACAGAAGGTACCAGCAGCCCCTTCTAGAAGGAGGAGTCAGAGGAGGGGCCCCGCTTCCCTGCCACAGTAGTCCCCGTGCATCTTGTCTTTCTGGCCACCATTTACTCAGGGTCCCCTCACTCCTGGATGGCCTGGACTCGAATGACAGAAATCACAGTGCTGCAGGGTAGGACTCTGGCTGGGGGTGGGGGGGAGGGAGGGCAGGAGCACCAAATCCCACTGGAAATGCGTTAGTTTACAACCACTGAAGAAAAAAGGGGGGACATTTTTATATGTGGACTTCGGGGTTTGAGGGCAATGGTTTTCCTTTGGACAAGAGCAACCTGGCAAAGTCTTTGAAGGACGTGGTTGCGGTTTTCCTGAGCTCTGTGATTGCTTTCTTTTGCTCATTCTCTTTACCCCCTCTCCCTACGGCCCTCTTTCTCTTATTCACGTATTTACCTTTGTCTAAGAAACCTGCCCACGGCTGAAAACTCAGACTGTACTGAGAGCTTTGTCATTTCAACACTGGCCCCCAGCCCCTGCCTTCATGAGCACCACGCCCGCCTCCCCCCGCCCCCCACCCCCTTAGCCACTTGGAATTCTGTAGCTGTTTCTTCTGGCAATTATACTCTTTATTGATTTATCAATTTTAGAAATTGCTGTGTGTATGTGACAAAAGGCGATGCTTCCTAGCTCCCTCACGCTCCCTACCTCCTTCCCTCCCATCATTTTTGTCTGTTAAGTAAACAGCATTACATCTTTATAACCCCATAAATGCAGTTCACCACAGGGCCATGAAGGGTATTACAACAGCATTTTCTTCCTTCTTCGGTTTTTTATTTTTCTTGTACGTGGGATTCGCTTGGCTGTGAAGCATCTCATTTAATACTCTGACACACTCCCTTAGGAGGGCCTGTTTCAGGGGGCACGGCTGACCAGCAGCTTCCAGAGCCTGTTCTCCCAGAGGGAGGGGACCAGCGCCATGGCACCTCTGCCAGACTTGGGACTCTCTGCTGGACAAGCTTTGCTCGGGGCTTCCATCGGCCTGGCTGAGACTTTCTCAGAGCTGCACTGTAGTCTGAGACTCTTCCGACCCAACCCTCCTTCCTTCCCCTACTTGCTTCTCAGGTGTGGGGACTGCATAGTGGTCTGAGGGATCTCCCCACCAACTCCTGCTCCCTCCCCACCCCCCATCCTTTCGGGCGCTGCCCCCAGTAAATCTCTCCCATATAGAATTCTGTCTTGGTGTCTGCTCCTTGGAGGACCCAAACCCACACACGCTCAAAGGATGCAGCAAGGCCTTACGTCTGAGTATTCCACGGGTCGGTATATCTAAAGTAGTACCAAGCAGAATCGACAAAGGTATCCATCGTGTCCGTCTCTCTCTTGGCAGCTCCCTTGCACCTGAGAAATAAAGGAAGTTCATCAACTGGTTTCTTTTTAAGTTTTAATGCAGTGTTCCACTGGCTTTTGAGAAAGCGCTGACAATTTAGCATCCATTCAGAATGTCACAAGAACAATGCCTCATCATGGATCGGCAATTCAGAGAACGCTCTCCTTTTGTATTGTTTAGTACAGGACGTTTTAAGGAAATTTATGAAGAAAAATTTAAATCTTCAACAATTAAAAGCCTTATACTCCACGTGTCTAAATTTTACCTGGTAGAAAATCTAACAACCTATGTGGATAAGCCAGGAGTGCCCTCTTTTGCACATTAACTTCTATTTTAGGCATGTCAAGATTGCCTTCAGCCAATGCCTAACGTGTGATACCTATGAAGCAAATCAACTTAGGAAGAGAAGCTGAAAACCAAACAGAGACGTTGTACTAAAGAAAGAACTTGGGGGGCGCCTGGGTGGCTCAGTCGTTGGGTGTCTGCCTTCAGCTTGGGTCATGATCCCAGGGTCCTGGGATCGAGCCCCGCGTCGGGCTCCCTGCTCGGCGGGAAGCCTGCTTCTCCCTCTCCCACTCCCTCTGCTTGTGTTCCCTCTCTCGCTGTGTGTCTCTCTGTCATATAAATAAATAAAATCTGTAAAGAAAAAAAGAAGAATGAACTTGGGTTTTCTCTATCTCTGCGAGGGCCGGGGGTGCAGAAATCGAAACCCACTAGGGTAACCTTGGGAAGAGAGGTCACCTTGGGGGCCCAAGGGCAGTGGTGTGCTAGAGCCAACTCATACCAGCTTGTGAGAATCAATGGGTTCGCACCTCTTCCCAACTCAGTGACAAGTGATGTCAAGTTCATAGCCTGAAACTAGCTTTTGGTGGAAGTATGTATACTACAGAAATTGGCAAACACCACAAATCAGGAGCTCCCTTCCAATGTGCCCACTGCCTAAGGACAGGACACAGAAGGGTGAAGATGTCCCTACTGTTCCAGGAAGCAAACGAAGCGAGATCCCTGGTGTGTGAAGGGCTGAAAAGAACAAGCGATCCTCAACCTCGGGATGGGGATGCCTGGGGAGGATGAAGGTCCCATAAGGGCCCAACTGATGAACCGATTCTGAAGCAGAACCAGTGTGATGGGCCCATGGGACGGGACAAACTGGGTACAAAAAAACCCAGAACTTCTAGGAACCCAAGAGAGGGTGCCCTTAGTCAAGCCTAGTCTAGAAGGGGCCCAGCCCCCCTGAAGACTCCTCACGGCCTGGATCAGCAGTGGATGCATCGAGCCAGCTACTATGAGCTACCAATAGGTGACAGGGGCCTTTGTGGCAGTGAGAACAAGCTGGAGAACACGTTTCTGGCTCCAGGCTTTCCCTCTTGAGGCTTGGAAGAGGGACCAACTGCCCTTCTAAATGCTGCCCTGCGGGCAGTCTCAGTCCTTGGGGCTTCTTGGAGATTTTGAGGAGGGACACAAGGAGCCCCAAGAGGAACTGATGAACCTTCTGCTGATTTTGCATGCCAGGGCAAGAGTCTGCTTTTAATTTAAAAATGAAAGAAGGCCTGCATTTATATCTTCCATCTGTGAAGAAGTTCATACCGGCTTTACAAATCGTACCGAAGCAAACAGCTAGCCCCCCATCTCCCACTTATTAAACAGAAATGGCTGAACAGAGACACAGGAGCCCCAGATCCTTGGGGCCTTGGGACTCACAGGGGCCTCCCTCTGGGAACAGTGGTGGTCCCCGGGGGGCGGGTGTTGATGGGAAAGAGCCCGAGGGAATCCTCTTTCCTACCACCCAGGTCTGCTACCAGACACTGATCTCCACAGTGCGTCTCTAAATTAAAGCCAGATCTTTCTACGGGGAGAGCAATCAACCAGAACACAGACACTATTTGGGCAAATATTTACAAGATAAAGGTTGCTTCTTCTCCTCACCACTGGGACAGGTGTACAAATCAGGAAGAAAACGCAGGGCCCAACCGATCAAAGGAGTAACGTCTGCCTACACCTTGCCATGCTGATTTTCTTTGTAATGGTCACGTGGGACTGGAGGACAACCAACACACCTTACTGCTGCCACTAAAAGCTGGTTTACATGGCTTAGCTACTTGGTAAGTGGGAGGGATAGATGATGATGACCGTGTCAACAGGATGATCGTCATCAGCTTCAATGGTACGAACGGTACCAGTGGATGCAGGCACTGAGCCAAATGCTTCCCCGGCATTCTCTCCTCTAATCCCCAGGAACCCTGGGGATTACGAGGTAGAGACTATACACGTCCCCACTTTGCAGATAAGTAACTAAAATTCAGAGAGGTTAAGAAATCCGCCCAAGGTCTTGGAGCTCGAGAGGAAGGAATCCACATCTGTTGGGCTCTGCGGCCCTGCTTGGCCATGCTGGTTCCATGACTGTCGGTCCTAGATTGCTCATTAGAATCATCCAGGGAGCCTTGACCAATACCACGGCCTGGGCTCTGCCCTCCAGGACTCCGCAGCCAGGGTCGGAAGCCTTATCCCCACCAGACGGGCCCTGGGCTGCAGTAGCTGGTGTGAAGGCCACCAGGGCTTTTGGCAGGGAAACCCTTTTGTCGCATCTCATTAATAAAGAGGGTGTGCTATTTTCTCCTGGAGCCCACGATTCTACCCTGAAAAGGCCCAGAGCTCCCTCTGTTTCTGCCCACAAGCCCCATCTCAAATCTTAAAACCACCCGGGTGAGCACCTGGGAGGATGGTGGTAACACTTCCATTTACTGGATGTTTGTCTGTTAGGCATCACTGTGCAGGATTGCGGGTGTTAATTCTAGTCTTCTGAGCAGCCCTTCGAGGAGGTTATTTTAGATTCCGATAAGAAAATCGAAGCTCAGAGAAGTCACGTGACTTTCCCAAGGTCACACGGCTAGTTAAAGGGGGGGCCAAGACTTGAGTCCATTATTATCTGACTTCCCGGCCTGGGCCTTTCAACTGCACTAGGGTTACCTGACTACCAACCTCATAACTCAGCTCTGGACCAGATTATTTTAACATCCTCATCCTGATCTATAAGGCAGAGAAAAAATGGCTTCTCCACAGAAGGAAGTAGGAAGATGCTGGAGCTGGGCTGGGTTATTTGCTTAATTAGCTGGTATGGTATCCCAAAAATCATTCGAGGTACGCCAGTGAGCTAACAGTAAAACACAATCCTACCTCCAAAACGAGATGTTCCGTGTCTTAAAGAATGAAACCCCAGCGCACAGCCCCCCTCGGAGCTACCACTCTACTGCGTGTAAGAAAATCTCCGCTGTTATCAGTGACAAGGTGGGAAAACAAAGGCAGAGAGGAGAAAACACTTTTCTCCCATCTCCAAGAAGCACTCTGGAATATGAAATGGAAGAAAGTGGTCTTTTACAAAGCCATGATGGAAACGTGCAGCTTTCCATCGGTTGGCAGGTATTTCTGGTAAAGATGTGAGTGGACAGAAAGACCTAGAGTATTCTTTCCAGGCAGGTGGGAGCCCTGGAAAAAGGGAGCAGAGAGCCTGAAACTGCAGCCGGGGTGCCAGGGCCACAGACCACGCCAAGGCCCGGGGGTGGGTAGTTCCTTACCTGGGGCAGGTGCAGTTCACCCACTCCGAAGCCGTGGCCAGTGGGGAGCCTCCTTTGCCGGTGAAAGATGGGATGTGGGGCAAGGTCACGGGCAAATCCTGCAGAGGCACGGCCACCGGGCCGCAGGCCGGGCAGTGGACCATGGGGATGGGCGTGCCCCAGTACCGCTGTCGCGAGATCAGCCAGTCCTTCAGTTTGTGGCTCGTCACGTCTCCACCTACCCTCTTCCTCCGGGCTTGCTGAGTCAAGGCTAGAAACGCATCCTGCCGGCTCATGCCTGTGAACTGTGAGGGAAAGGAGAGAGATCCTATGCTTCCTTCCGCAAGGACAAGCTGTCACCCGCCACGCCCCCCCTCCAAATTGCTGTTTTTGTGTGTTGTCTGTGCAGAGCCTTGTTGTGACTTTACGAGCCCCAGGTGCCTTCACCTCTGTGGCCCCTTCCTCCCTAGGACAGTTTTTTTATTTATTTATTATTTATTTATTTTTTAATTTTTTTAAAAGATTTTATTTATTTATTTGAGAGAGAGAGAATGAGAGAGCACATGAGAGGGGGAGGGTCAGAGGGAGAAGCAGACTCCCCGCTGAGCAGGGAGCCCGACGTGGGACTCGATCCCGGGACTCCAGGATCATGACCTGAGCCGAAGGCAGTCGCTTAACCAACTGAGCCACCCAGGCGCCCAGTTTTGTTTTTTTTTTTAAATAAAGATCTTTATTTATATATTTGAGAGAGAGAGAGTGAGCACAAGCAGGGGGAGCGGCAGGCAGAGGGAGAAGCAGGCTCCCCGAGGAGCAGGGTGCTCAATGTGGGATTGATCCCAGGCCCCGGAGATCATGACCTGAGCCGAAGGCAGACACGTAACGACTGAGCCACAAGGCGCCCCATCCTTAGGAAGTATTAAAATTACGTTTTGTGACTATATTGAAAGAAGATGAACATTATTTTGACCCGAAAAATTCTTTTTTCCCTCTGATTTTAAAAGAAATTAACATCTTTTAGGGGACCCCTAAAAGTACCGTGACCCCAAAGCACTGTGTCCACCGTGTCTCACGGGCAAACCGGTCCTTGTTCTGTGGCTCTCCTTATCACCTGAGCCCCGAGATAGTACAGGGATCATCAACTCTCAGCACTGAGCTGCTAGCAAAGAACTGCATGATATGTATTTCTAATGACGAGTCCCCTGTTGGGGGAAAAAATAATCCAGGAAGGAAAATTCAATATCCTACGGCAGAAGTAATTTGGCAAGCAGGGGAACAAATTGGGGCCATAGCTGGATAGACCTGAACCACTCCTTTTATATTTAAATGCGCCCATTTTATAGAGAGCAGAGCAAGACAATGAAAGTAGAAAAGAGAAATTTCTCTCTTCACCTGATGCTTTTCAGGGAACCAAGCTAATGATGAGAATTGAGCCAGCACGGAATGCCAACAGGGGATCGTGGGTACCCTGGAATTGGTTCACTGTCGATGGACTTCATCCCTACTAAGTACCAGGCTTCAGCCAGACGTTGGGGGCACAAAGATAAAGATGCTCTGCCCCCTGCCCGCAAGGAGCTTACAATCCTGAGGCATAAAGATCTAAGTATAGCGATGTTTACCAAAAGCAGCCCCCTCCTTGGGGTCTGCAGTGTCTTCTGAGGCACACACACAACTTGCTACCAAGGATGCACGCACCCTCTGGGAGGCATCTTCGATGCTCCACACTCCCACCTTCATATAATTACGGGACACAATGATCGCAAACTCTCTTGAAAGGCTACCTCCTCCACGTATCACTGTCTCTACATTCCTGAAGCTCACAGATGACGGGAGCCCTTTACCACCTGTTCTCCTTCCATCTGCTGAAAGAATTCATTATCCTAGACATTCAGTCGAGAGCCAGGGGAGGATTCAACAGACCGCCTGAAGTGATCTGAGGAAGCCAGGGAGCATAATTAACGTCAGTCCTATAGTAAGGAGTGGGCAGCTCTCTGGGCACATCAGAAGCCGAATTTTGGCTACGAGTATCCCCTTTCTTGCTCTTCAGAGAGATACTGAGGGCTCCCGTACGAGCACCTTGGTGTGGCTCTGTTACACCTCCAGGGAGTCTGCTCCAATGTAGTCTAAAAGGTTTAAGATTCAACAACTTAGAGCATCTTACTACCATTTAGGTTGTGAAGGCACAAATGTGAGGTCAGGAAACACTGTCACTCAGGTAAGGAAAAAACCTGGCCATACTCTCATTCTTTTTATATATTTATCTATATACATATCTATAAAATATCCTCTAGCCACATAATCCCAAACCTGAAAATCCTGGATCTTCAGGTCTAATTGACTCAGGATCACCCAGGCTGGGGCCAGTGATGCCAGTGTTCCAGGTCCAGGGACCGGACTTTGAGTAGCAAGGCTCTGGGCCGGTGATTCTCAAAATGTGGATCCTGGATCAGTAGCAGCACCTGAAAACTTGTTAGAAATATATGTTCCTGGGTTCTACCTGGGGCTGCTGAATCAGAATCTCCAGGTCGAGGGCGAGGCACTCTGTGTGCGTGTGTATCAACAAGGCACCAGCCGATTCTTGGGTGTGCTCAGGTTTGAGAAGCACCGTCTCTGCTATTTCCCACTCGCCCCTCACCCTACCCCTTCCATCACACTTCCTGGCCTGGGTCAAGAGCAAGGCTGAGGTCAAGTCTTGCCAGATCTACCACCTGGCAAGAGAGAACCTGGCCCAAATAAATAAACGTGATTCAACTTTGGTGTTCATTTCTATACATGAGTTCAAATTTGGGAGGAAACAAGTCAGTCATCTGGGGAGAATAGAAATATCTAGGAAGAACAGCCAATTTTGGTCACCCTCCCAAGGAATCTGTTTTCCTGGAAGAGAGATTTTATTTTTTTTCCCCAAGCAGAAGATTCCCAAAATATAGTGACTATGATAACCATACTATTCTAGGATTGGGCTTGACTTAGAGTTGATAAATTTCTAGATCTTGAAAAAGAATACTGTTTTGTTTTCACAGATTATAAAATGAGGCTGCAAGACCTTGAGGTGTGGGGATGAGTGAAATGGCAGGTTGGAATCTGCACCTGAAGGAAAAGGTCTCATCAAACCCAGGTCAAGGTCATGATTGGAGAAGCTGTTAGGCCCGTGCCACGGGGAACCAACCTCGGCAGAGCTGCTCATTCTCTCTGTGCCATCCGGCAAAGTTTCAATGACTTCGGAGTAGGGGAGGTCCAGGGTCTGGGCTAAGGTGCTGTCCTCTGGACTGGTGCTCGGAATTCCTATTCAGAGGGGAAGAAACACAGAACACCTTCTTTGCAAATACCCAAGTCACAAAATAACGGACAGCACCGACACTCGGCTTTAGCCTCCTCAGGGAGACTCTCTTTTAGCTACAGAGGTTCTAAAAATGCAGTGTATTCCTTGGGAAAATGGAGGACAGTCTTGGAGAAACACCCTCCCCCCCACCCTCATACAACCAGCTTACTATGTCGGCATGATTTCCTTTCAGTCTTTATCCTGTGCTTCGTTTCTTTTTTTAAATAGTTGTGATTCTAAAAGATAAGATTTGGGGGGCTTTTGTCACTGAAATCGTGAATCGCAAGCATCTGGAGAAGCCTCTTGTCTGAATTCCCTCAGGGACCAAGGACAGCGGCATTCTCTTGAGAAGCAGGGCTGCCAGCTCCAGCATTTCCTGGCGCCCTAGAAAAATCCACACAGTCCCGAAGTGGAAAGCTGGGAATTGTGTTTCCTCACGCTATGCTTTGTTCCCAAAGGCAATGATACGTGCAGTCCGAATAGAAATTTCTTCTTCAGTCCACACATGCCTGAGATGGGAGTTGAGCATAAGTGAATCGCTCATCCAAAGGGCCAAGGCCGACTTTCGGCTTCAGCTCTGCGTCAAAACAAGCTTGTCGGTGGTTGGGTCTGCAGGGCAGACTTTCTCAATCTTGGCACGACATCATTGTGAGGCTATGCTGAGCATCGCAGGAATGCTGGGCAGTGCTCCTGGTCTCTAGCACTCCCCGGAAGTGACAGAAAAAGGACTGAAAAATTGCCACATGCCACCCCCCCCCCAGGAGGGGGCAAAATCGCCCCCTGCTGGAGGACCCCTGCTGCGGGTCACTGTCAAAACTGCTGATGTCCCTGCAGAAACAACACGTTCCGTGGCTACTGAGCAGGAAGACTAAGGACAACGCACAAAGTGCTGAAGTCAGATTTCCATGAAATTTGGAACACCGCCTGATGACGAGGGTTATTTCATGTTTGGGAGACATGTTCTAAAGCTCCTTGGCAAGACAGAAAGCTCCATGGTATGATGGAAAGTTCTGTGGTGTTCCATCTGAGATTACTGACCAAAAAAAAAAAAAAGCATCTAACAAGGCAAATAAATGTTGGGAGTGGACTTGAAGGATATGGGAGGGTGAGGACAAAGGGCAAGCAGTATTACTGGAAGGTGTTCATGGTCAAGAAGGGAAGAGAGTCACTCACTGTGTTCCCAAAGCATATGGTTTGGAGTAACCAGGAGAAATGTTCAAATGGAGACACTGTGGCCAAAAAATTTATTTGGCCACATAAAGAATGCTGTGGACCACAGTGTGGGTTATGTGGGGCTCAGCAGGATGTGAACTATCTGTAACGTGCAGGTGGGATGGCAAAAACACTGCTTTATCTCTTTTTTATTTCTATTGCTTGTTCTTGGAAGTCAAGAAGCAATAACTTAGAAAATGTTAATAATGTAACTGTGGGAAATCAAGACCACAGGGAAAATGATTTCCATGCACATCCAAAAAAAAAATCAGATTTTTTTTTCTTTCAGAATTTTCAATATTGTGCCAGTAATTTGACTCAAAATACAGTCCCGCCCCCCCAAAAAAGCAAAAATCCACATCAACAACAGCTTCCTTTATTGCCTATCTTGCCTGGTTGTATTAATGAATCTTACTAATTATGAAATACAGAAAAATAACAGAAGGAATTATTTGAGTGGCTCATTCAGTTAAGCATCTGCCTTTGGCTCAGGTCATGATCCCAGGGTCCTGGGATCAAGCCCCGCATTGGGCTCCCTGTGGGGAGCCTGCTTCTCCCTCTCCCACTCCCCCTGCTTATGTTCCCTCTCTCCCTGTCTCTCTCTGTCAAATAAATAAATAAAATCTTTAAAAAAAAAAAAAAAGGAAGGAATTATTTCCCTTAAGCAACAACCTTTCTAGGTTTAAATGGTCAGAAGGGAATGACCTGAATGGCTTAATATCCATTTTCTGTTTGGATGTTTCTTCAAATCACTTTTGTCAAAAACTGATCTGGGAATCAGGAGGGAAAACATGATTTCGGTAAGAAATGCTATTTCTTCTGGGTACCAGGAAATTGAGAGTGGAGAAGGAACTTTCTCTGCAGGCTCTTGGCACTTTGAGACTGGCTGGGATCTGCAGCGGGAATGTTGGGGAAGAGGGGCGCTTGGGTCCATCCGAAGAGCGGATCTTGGACGGGCTGTCACTAGCTCTCAGTCCTCAGCTCACCCCCGGCCTCTGCTAGGTGACAACACCTCAGAACTCCCAGGGATGAGCAAAGCTGCAGAGGACATTCAATGCACCATTCTAAATGCGCCTTCCACTTGACTGCTGTGTCAGGGTCCTTTCCCTAGAGGGCTCAAGTTCACTTCCTCAAGCCTTCACCAAAACCCAGCCCAGTCCATCACTTGTGCTCAGAATCCCCATCTCTGCAGTTGTGGTTGGTTCTACGAGCTCTGAAATCAGATTTCATATGAGTTGTACTGTTCCCCGTATCACATGTATGAGTCTCACCAACCAGCTCTACTGGCCAGATCTGTGGGCCACTTTTTATTATTCTCAAGAGCAACTAGCAAGGTGTGGTATACTGGGTATGTTTTCAAAATGTAGCTCTTAAATAGGGAATGGATGCATGAAGGGGCCTATCATTTTCCCAAAGAGGCAGAACAGACCGTGGACTCAGCAGTGAGTTCTTCCGGTTGACAGCAACAGGCTGGTATTTTGATCTTAAGCCTGCTGAGTATATTATCCTGATTATATTTTAATAGCTACTTACCTATTTTGGAATCCAGAGAGCCCTCCAAGTCAGCTTTAGCCAAGATAACGACAGGGACCTCCTGCTGGGTGAGCATGTTCACAGCCGTCACCGGCGTGAGGCAATCTGAAAATGAGAGCGAGTGACAGCTGGGGTACTAACACCATCTGAGTCTCAGAGGAGACAAGTGAGAAAAATAAGCATGAGGACTTCTGTGTTTGTGCTAATTGTTAAAGAATCTGTTCTTTGAAGGTATTAATGGATAATTCACACCAGCAGAAAATCAAAAGATTAAACAAGTACACAAAAATGTTCATCTATGCTCAGAACCAAAGAAGCGAAATGGCATATTTACTTTACAGATGGTAAAGTAAAGATGGTCCCGCCACTCCTTTTCCTTTTGAAAAATACCTCAAATATACAGAAGAATAAGCAACACAAAAATCTATGGTGACTAAAGCAATGTCAGGAATTCCAAATCCTGGCACCTGAAGATGGAAGTGGATAGGAGAGTAGAGAATAACTAAGCAGAGAGCAGGAGAGTTCTGGACACACGAAGACAGGACAGTTCTTCCCACCTACCCTTTTTTAGGACAGTGGAGGATGTGTTCCAGCAAAACAAAGGGGTAAATCAAGAAAGAGACAGAAATGGGATCTAGGAAACAGAAGATCCAACAAAGAAAAGAGGGTCAAGACACTCTCAGAACAAAGACAGAGGGAAGCCGTAGGATGGCAGATGGGCAGCAGAGGCCTGGAGAGTGACCAGGTAAGGCCTGTGCAGGACAGAGGGCCCAGGAAGCATCTTCAGGGGAAAAAGGAGCATCAATACATTATATGACAGGTTGGAATATGTAGAAAACTATATTAAAAGGAGTTTTAAAAGAGCCTCTGGGAGGGTGTGGGAAGACTTAGAAATCCAAAGAACACAAAGCAAATGAAAAAAAAATAAGGACATCATTAACTTCAGGCAAAACAGAAAGTATATTACCAAAAGGAAAATGGAATCATAGTATACTTGGCTCAGTTGTGAACGATATTTATGTGGTCATAATAAAATACTTAAATGACTATCTACAGGAATGGAAGCATGAAGACCCAAACACAGTCCCAAAGGAAGAAGGAATGAAAGGGGTAAACAATTAGTGAGTTCACTTGAGCTTACTGCAACATAAGCAACTGACAACAGTTATAATTTGTCAAATCTATTTATATTCGCCATATTTTACGACTTCATATAATTATCTAAAAGATGTTTTACAAACCCCAAAGTTAAAATATGCCCAGGAAGTAAGATGTATTCTTTTCAAAGAGGGAAAGATAAGCTCTGTAGGCATCTAAGCCAGCTCTTCTGTTCTTTCATCTTGCAGGGGTCAGGAAGCACAAGACAGGTTACAGTGGGGACAGAGTGACATATAACCCAAACGGGTCTCCAAGGCAGAGGTTCAGTAGCACCCATGGTCCCAAGGCTGGGAAGCACCTGCTGCCCTGAGCTGCTTAAGTGCGGACACTTCTCAAAATGGAGACCCATATTTCTGATTCCGTACTGCCCCTTCTCAAAGATGACAGGTATATGTGCAAAGTCTGCAATTATGATAAAATGTGATGAAGAGGATGGAAGATGAGGGGAGGTGGTGCACGAGTAAAGGTTGCAGGGTAATGTCGAGAACTGGTGAACTGAGAGGGAACAGGGTAGGCGTATTATACAGACACGTGGAGGTCTGAACCATAGAAACAGCTGTGGCACAGACCGACAGTCGACCACAGACCTGTCTCACCGCCTTTTTTTTTTTTTAAGATTTTATTTATTTATTTGACAGAGAGAGACAGACAGCGAGAGAGGGAACACAGCAGGGGGAGCGGGAAAGGGAGAAGCAGGCTCCCCGCTGAGCAGGGAGCCCGATGCGGGGCTCGATCCCAGGACCCTGGGATCATGACCTGAGCCGAAGGCAGACGCTTAACGATTGAGCCACCCAGGCGCCCCCTGCCTCACCTTCTGATTCAGCAACAGAACATTTAGTTGGACACACGTCTGCATAGCTCACAACAGCACTGCTCAGCCTCCCTTGCACTAGGCGTGGCCTTGGGGTATGTCCAGAAGCAACTTCTAGGGCATGCTCTCAGAGGGAAGGAACATGCCCTTCTTTCCCTGCTTCTGACTTACTGCAATGCAGATGAAGTGCAGAACATCTCAGAACACATAGGTAAGGGTAAGACCCTTGAAGGACAGAGTGGGAAGACAGAAAGAGCCTTGGCCATGACTGACTCACAGGGCAGACTTGTCATACTTGCTTTGAGATTCAGGTGGGCAAAAATAAACTTCTATCTTTTTAAGTCACTGTGTTTTCAGGACTCTGTCGTAGCCACCAAACTTACACCCTAAGTAACACATACCTAAAATGATTCGAGGTGGCTGGGTAAGGAAGCTCCTGCTGTTGCTGATACTCTTTGACAACTCACTTTTCGTGTGATATACATATATCACTTGGATCTTATAAAACACAAGTTGATTTTTAAAAAAAGAAGAAAGAGAAATTAACGTAATCTGGAAGTATTATCATTTTACACCTGATAAGTTAGCAAGAACTTTTAGAAGGGTACCATCAATACTTGCGAAGTTGCACTGAAATTTGTGTATCATTGGATACAGCACTGTAAACCGATCATAGCCCTTTCCAAAACCAATAAAAGCCACCTGTAACAAGAACTAGAAAAATGTTCATAACCTGTGACCACATAAATCCCACTCTGGGGAATGTCTCTTAAGGAAGTAATTCTATAGAGGAAAAGAGCTTTGTGGATATAAATATGGATAGCAGCTATGTCCGGGACAGCCCCAAACATGAAAAGGCCAAATGTTCAACATCATAGGGAAGACTGAGAATATGATGGTACATCGAGTTAACAGAATATTATGTATGGATTAAAAAAGAATTGTGAAGCCTGCCTAAAAACAAACAAAAAAACCCCACTTTCTGAAATCATATTATATGAAAACCAAAACATAAAGACAGAAGCTGTCTTTTCTTTAAGATACGTTTCTGTGGGAACATGAACTAAAAAGTAGTATGACCACACACTGGGGCACCTGGGTGGTTCAGTTGGTTGAGCATCCGACCCTTGGTTTCAGCTCAGGTCATGGTCTCAGGGTAGTGGGATCGAGCCCTACATCGGGCTCTGCACTCAGTGAGGAGTCTGCTTAAGATTTTTTCCCTCTCCCTCTCCTCCCCCCTCTGCCCCTCCCCCTGTTCACACGTGCTCTCTCGCTCCCTCTCGCTCTCTCTCTCTCAAATAAATAAAATAATTTTTTTAAAAAAAGGTAATATGACCACATGCAAAAGAATGAAGGCGGAGGGGCACCTGGGTGGCTCAGTCGTTAAAAGTCTGCCTTCGGCTCAGGTCATGATCCCAGGGTCCTGGAATTGAGCCCCGCATCGGGCTCCCTACTCAGCGGAGAGCCTGCTTTTCTCTCTCCCACTCCCCCTCCTTGTGTTCCCTCTCTCGCTATATCTCTCTGTCAAATAAATAAAATCTTAAAAAAAAAAAAATCAACAATAGAAAGACAATTCAATTAAAAAATGGGCAGAGAGTCTGAATAGACCTGTCTCCAAAGAAGATACACAAATAGCCAACAAGCACATGCAAAGATGCTCAGCATCACTAGCCATTGGGTAAATGCAAATCAAACCCATGAGACACCACTCCCCACCCACTGGGATGATTATCAGCAGAAAGACAGACAATAACAAGCACTGGCGAAGATGTAGAGAAATTGGAGCCCTGGCACACTGTTGGGGCGAATGTGAAATGGTGTAGCTGCTCTGGGAAACTCCGATACTTCCTCAACCAGTTAAACACAGAGCTACCATATGACCCAGCAAGTCCACTCCTAGACACATACGTGAGGAAATGAAAGCATATGTCCACACAGAAATCTGTACTTATGTTCACAGCCGCACCACTCAGAGGAGCAAGAAAGTAGCTAGAATGTCCATCAACTGATGAATGGATGAACAAAATGCACAATATTATTCTGAAATAAAAGGGAATAAAGTACTCACACAGGCTACAACATGGATGAGCCTTGAGAACATTATACTAAGTCAAAGAAGCCAGTTACAAAAGGACAAAATACTGCATGATTCCATTTATATGAAATGTCCAGAACTCGCAAATCTATGGACAAAGCAGACCAGCGGCTGCCTAGGGCTGGGGGAAACAGTGGGGGATCTCTTTGGGGGTGACAAAAATGTCCTAAAACTGTGCGTAATTCTGCAGATATACTAGGGGCGCCTGGGTGGCTCAGTCGGTTAAGTGTCTGCCTTCGGCTCAGGTCGTGATCCCAGGGTCCTGGGATCGGGTCCCGCATCGGGCTCCTTGCTCAGTGGGGAGTCTGCTTCTCCCTCTCCCTCTGCTGCTCTCCCTGCTCTGGGCCCAAAGGTGCCCTCTGCCCGCAGGGCCCCACTGCAGAGCAGGCCTGTCTTTCGTGCCTTCTGGAAAAAACAAACAGGTGGCTTTTGTTCAGTGATCAGCAAAGCAGTGATCCTCGCAGGGATACTCTGTGGGACCAGGGTTGTGTGGTCAAGGGAGTGTGGGAAGTGTCATGTGACCTGCTCTCGGACACAGTCGCAGTGCGCAATGGCGCGGCAAAGTTTGTGAGAAGTCCAGGAGCACAGAAACCTGTTCGTCTTTGTTTATCCAGGTTATGGGAGCGCAGAGGCCCCTCCCTCCACATAACATCTATTAGCATGTGCTGGAAGGATGGCAGAGGGAACAGTTTGATTAAAGAACAGACTATAACCTATAGGATCCCATCCCCACACACATACAGAGCAGAAAGGGGGAGGACAGGAGTGAGCAATTAATTATTTAATGCTCCGGGGCTCCTGGGGAGACGAGGCTCTCTGATGTGGCAGTAACAGTGGGGTTCTGAGGTTCCCTTTAGGGAGACCTCACCTACCCTTTCGGCAATAAACGTCCTGTGGAGACTGCTGGTGACTCAGAGCTGAAATGTGTGGTTCCAAAGCCTCAGGGTTTGAATATTATTTTAATATTAGAAATGTAAGAAAAGGGGCGCCTGGGTGGCTCAGTCGGTTAAGCGACTGCCTTCGGCTCAGGTCATGATCCTGGAGTCCCGGGATCGAGTCCCGCATCGGGCTCCCTGCTTGGCAGGGAGTCTGCTTCTCCCTCTGACCCTCCCCCTCTCATGTGCTCTCTCTCTCTCTCAAATAAATAAATAAAATCTTAAAAAAAAAAAAAAAAGAAATGTAAGAAAAGACGCCAGGAAAAAGACAGAACAGCTTCTAGAACTCCGATGATATTTCCCTATTGATGCTTTTTATGGTTTCTAGCTCCCATCAAGTCAGAGCTTACATAACACGACTTAAGTCAGAGGCGGTCAGCTGAGAGAAGGAGGCAACGTGAGTGATAGAAATTAAACTCAGTTTGCAGAACTCTATGGGGAAGCACCTGACTTTTCGCTCTCTTAAAGGAATCTATGCCAAATTACAGGGGGCTGAGCAAAACACAGTGCTTCTAGTCAATAACATCAGCAACCCAGTCGGCCCAGCCAGAAATGAGGGCAGCGTCCCTGGAGCCTCTGCCCTTGCTGCCTTCCAGAAACGTCTGGGAGCTGCTCTGGCCCCTCCACTCTGACAAGCACTGTTCTTCTATCGTCACTGTCTCTTAACCCATGGTTTGCTGGTCTTCCTGCCTGACCTCTGCCAAGCATGAGCCCCCACCCGCAGGTGTCACCATCCTCCTCTGAGCTACTCAGGGCCCCTTCTGTCCCCGCAGGGCCCCCCACAACCACCCCGCCCACTTGGCTGGGAAGGCCAAACTCACAACGGTGAAGTGACCTTCCTTAAGTCACAGGATGGCTCTGGGACCAGAACCTTGGCCATCTTGTGCCCACGCGGGAGCTGATATGCAGAAACCAACTTAGTGGCTGTAGGAACCCATGTTTGAGAATTTAACCTCCTGCAAGTGATACATTCCATCACATCCCTGGCTTTCAGCGGTCACTAGTCACCCTCAAAACCTGACACTGGAGGAAAAAAATCAAGCCGCCCGTCTGACTGGAGCCAGTCGGCAATGATAAATGACAACAGCAATACAACGCTCAGGTTTAAAGTGTAACCTCCAAGGCCAAAGAAGGCATACATCCATAATCATATGATGATTTTCATTTGATTTTTAGAAAAACTACATTACACTCAAGGCACCGTACTGGCCTTCCATAACTAATGCCACATGTCAAAATCCAGAGACTTGACGTGCAAATTAATCTTGAGACTTTGAATAAGTTGACATCTGCAAAAAGAATATTTCTACTCTGAAAATTAGAATTGGAAAATACAGAGCCAGGTGTAATGTTCCACTTGGAATTATTTCAGAGATTATTAAAAAGAGGTGAGAATAAAGCTGGCCAGCCATTCAGCGCTAAAATGAAATGATGGGACAAGTCAGAGGTGCCAATGCCCCAAATGATCATGAAAACATCGCTCTTTGCATTTGCTAAAATAATTTAATTTCTTACATATCAAAATATTTGGAATTTATCCAGTGCCTTTCATGTCAGGAGCTCCATCTTTCATAATGTACGGTCTCATGAAGCCCCTGTTAATATTACCTCATTTTAATTTGTGTCCCCAGATTAACTGTAAGAAAACAAAATCTAAGGGCTAGATGTTTACATTTTTTTAGTTTTTCGATTTTAGATATTCTTCACCCATCACAGCCCACAAGGAATCCCAAAATGCTCATGAGAGTAAAAACTATGAGTATTCCCTTTCAACTAAACAGTTGAAAAGAATCCAGTTCTTCTTTTGAGTAAGTGGAAAATAAAACAGATAGCTACATTGGACTTTATGAGCACAACACTGAAATTTTAACACATGTCTTTTTTCTGTTTCAGTACATAACAACAGGAGATGACAGCAAGTGGTATCTGTTTTGGGCCAGAGTGAATCACACATGCGTCTGGCTCTCCTTTGTCATGGCCCCCCTGGGGGCAGGACGGGGGACTGGTCCTCTGTGTGTCCCCAAGCGCTTAGCACCAGCAGGCTCTTCCTAAGTGCTCACTGATTTGAACCTGGCTTCAATGCTGGAAGTAAGCAATTAAAAGTCTTCAGCAGAGGGGCACCTGGGTGGCTCAGTTGGTTAAGTGTCTGCCTTTGGCTCAGGTCATGATTCTAGGGTCCTGGGAGCAAGCCCCGCATTGGGATCCCTGGTCAGTGGAGAGCCTCCTTCTCCTTCTCCCTCTGCCCCTTCCCTCGCTTGTGCGCTCTCTCTCTCACTCTCTCTCTTTCAAATAAATAAATAAAATATTTTTTTTTTTAAAGATTTTATTTATTTATTTTTTTGACACAGAGAGAGATAGAGAGAGCAGGAACACAAGGAGGCAGGCTTCCCGTGGAGCAAGGAGCCCAATTCAGGGCTCAATCCCAGGACCCTGGGATCATGACCTGAGCCAAAGGCAGATGCTTAATGACTCAGCCACCCAGGCGCTCCAAAATAAATAAAATCTCAAAAAAAAAGAAAAAGTCTCAGGGCACTTGTGATGCCAGGGTCCTGGGGTCGAGCCCTGCATCGGGCTCCCTGCTCCGTGGGGAGTCTGTTTCTCCCTCTCCCTCTGCCTGCTTCTCCCTCTGCTTGCGCTCTCTCTCTCTCTGTCAGATAAGTAAAAAAAAAAAGTCTTTAGCAGAGGTAAGTTGGGATGACATCGTCTATCTTTCCAGCCTTATACCAGGAAACCTTTCATTCTGGTTATTTTAAGAATAGCAATTAAAAAAAAAACCCAAAACACTTTATATCACCAAACAAACCATTTTTGTTAGTCAAATAATTCAAACAGACCCCGATAACTCAGACTGTGTTCTTTGGGTTGAAATTTACAGTCTGTGAAAAGAAAATAAAGATGAGATTTTTATAGAAATATTTACATTTCTCCGGAGACCTACTTCTTTTTTTTTTTAGATTTATTTATTTATTTGAGAGAGAAAGAGAGAGGGAGGGAGAGAATCTCAAGCAGACTCTGCTGAGCACAGAGCCCAACGTGGGGCTCAATCTCATGACCCTGAGCAGAAACCAAGAGGCAGATGTGCAACCAACTGCGCCACCCAGGCGCCCCATCCAGAGACCTACTTCTAATTGATGGGGGACTTCCTTTTGCCTGCCCAGGGTCCATACTGCCTTCCTCTAATAAGAGCCTCTGGGTTTGTTTCGGGAAGCGACCCCTCCTCACTGGATCTAGTCTTGGTGGTCTAACAAGAAAGGTGCCGGACCTTCCCTTGCCCAAGAAAAAGGCCATGGGCCTCAGTTATACCATTGAGACAGTTTCCCTCCAACAGGAATCTCAGACCAAGTGCCCCACACCCTGAGGGTGAGGTGAGAGCAGATTCACTCAGTCAGTGGCACTCAAAAGACTGTCTATGAGCTCTTGCCACCAAAACCGCACAGCTGCCTGATCCAGATCGTCTTCCAGACTGGTTCCTGCTAGTCAGCAAGCTTTCCACAGCCTCCAGGAGGTTCCCTTTGTTCTCCGGGTTGGCCAGGGAATGCATTCTGTTGCTTGCAACCATAGCGTCCTGACTAACGCACAGGCCTCCCCAAATTCTCACTGACCAGTAACACCTGCTGTGCCCACTCCAGGTCAGCTGGATCCACTGACTGAAGGCCTGTGCTGAGCAGGACGCTGTTCAGCTGCTCAGATTACTGTGGGAAGTCTAAAATAACACGATGAAGTTTTTGAAAATGCTTCCTCTGATTCTCACTGGCTTCCTCCTTGTCGCCATCATCAGGATAGTCTTATTTGACGATGGAATTATAAATTAGGCAGAAGATGCTATTCCTGTCAGAAAGAACTTGAAGTCTAGATTGTATCTAGAGAGAAAGAGTTGAGCTTTCGGTCAGAAACTCAAGAAGCCGACAAACGAGTCGCTCAAAGCGAAACCGGGGGTAGCAACATTTTCAAAGCTCTCATTTATCCTGTTTGAAAATAAAAAACTAACAAGTCAGGCTCAGGCGAAGAACAAATCACACAGGATGACATATGGGAAGAGACTGTGAACCTGAGAACTGCTCGATGTCCAACTAGAACTCGCCAGCTCACCTTTGCCAGGAACGAGTGCCTTCCGAAAGGTTTCCTTCAGAGAGCTGTGCCCATGTAAGAGTCTGTGGCTGGGAGAGATGGCCACGTGGGAGGTGCCGTAAATGGCCTCGGGGGTGGCTGTGTAGGCGGTCAGCTTTTCTCCTGTGACTTGACCATCCACCTGGCAGGTAAAAGCAGAGCCATTTCATTCCTTAGGGCTCCTCCGGGGCTGTCGTGCTCCCGGGCCACATCCCCTCCTCCCTCCCCTCCTCAAGCCCAAACACCAGGGACGGTTCCGGGCTGCAGCCCCAGGGATGTGGGGCCCTGAGATGGCCCCTGGTAGGGGCAGAGACGGGCGAGAGAGAAGACGATCACCATTCCTCTTTAAGTCTGGTGCCCACCGCCAGGTGTACTTGGCGGCCCCAAATCAAAGGTGGTCAAAGCGTGCTCAGAAAGATGCCTCCCCCATTTTCCTGGCTCCTTTGTTCACGAATCAAAAATAACTATCAATGTTGTATTGTTTCTGTCCTGACAAAGGAGCTATACTTCCCTCCAGGATTTAAGGTATATTAAAAAAATAAAGGCATCTGCTTTTCTAACCAGAAAAGCAGTCCTTGGGGCTAAAACTGTTCTGAAGAGGAAAGAGAGGACACCCGAGGCCATGACTGAGCGTGGCCCTAGGGCTGGTTAGGGGTCCCCTGTGGAGCCAGACTTAGGGCCCCAAAGGCCCAGCCACATATGGTCCTGTAGCTGCTGGACTGAGAGTGTTCCCTCCCCCGAGACATCTCATTTTCAGGTGGGTCCAGGAACGGAGACAGAAACATTTTCATAATAAAACGTTGGGGAAGGGAGAAAATGTGGAAGCCATTCCATGTACAGGAGTCGACCTGCTCAGAGACCCACAGCCTTCACCCTGGCTGAGAAGCAAAGGCCTTGTGACACGGGGACCCGACCCAGTCTAATGCACAGGACCCAAAACGAGACAGCCCTAAGAGCCTGAACCAAAGTCGCAGCAGGACTGAATTTCAGAAATCTCACCACCTTCTCAGGAAAGTGGTGACAGAATTTGGTCATTTCAGGATTTGGTTTTCAAAGGTTTCAAAGTCCCCGCTCCCTTATGGGGGCCTTCCCGTGTCTGCAGTTGGGAGTGAGGGGGATCGCGTTCGTGAGGAGACGGCACAGGGAAGCGTGAGCTCTGTGACAAGGAGGGGGAGCTCAGCAGACCCCAGGATGGCTGTCAGTACAAGTCTAGAAAAGTAGGTCAACTCTGTCTCTTGACTGCTGTCCCCTCCTTCTAAAGGTCTGGCCTAAGGTGAGGGATGAGTTTGGAGCTAAGGGCACAAAAGTCTTGAGTAGGAAGGAGACACCAGAAGAATTAAAAAACAAAACAAAACAACCCAGAACCCACCCAGGTAAGAAACAGCAAAACAGCAAAACAACAACTACCCAGTCTGCAGGGACAAAGAGAAAAGGTTGGGGGGCACCTTCCAGAGTAGGTGGGCCTTCGGCAGTGACCTCTGAGCAGTGTTTCCACACAGGTAGGCTCTTCTGAACCCTGGGTAAGCCCATGACCCTCCCCAGCTTCGGGTGCGCCCCGTTTTGAGATGGTGTCAGCCTTGGCTTGCTCGTTTTTAACCTGCTTTGTGACACAAACCCTGCGGAGCTCTGGGCCCACTGTGCAGGAAGATGTCCACACAACCCTCCGCACATCACCTCAGGGAGTTCACGGACCCACAGAAGCCCTCTCTATTCGCGCCGACCAGCAGGATGGCCAGTAGCAGTAAGAGGTGATGGAACCCTTGGCCAGTGTCGCTGTGTTAAGAGAGCACAGATTTCAAAGACTGTACGAAAACCTGAGCGTCAGCTGTTTCCTCAATAGACCTTTGTTACTGACCACATCGGGAAATGATCATTTTTTGGTATACAGTGGGTTAAAGATATGTTATTAAAATCAATTTCGCCTGTTTCTTTGCACTGTAAAAATGTGGCTACAGCAACGTTTGAGATGCTGCTGCTGGTTTGCTCGGTGAGTTCTGAAACCGCAGAAGGGGATTGGAGAGCTTTAATCAACGGAGAGGCTTTGCTCGTTCACCTTCAATGTGAAGTCCAGATGGCAGCCCACACAGTCTCCGATCCAGTGGGCCTGCATGCCTTTTATTCCATACCACTCGGGAAGGTCCACCAGCGCTTCCTGCATGGCCTGTGGAAATGAGAGGAGAAGAGGGCTAGAACTGTACTTAAGGGACGCACAGGATGGGGGGCTTCCTAAGGCAGGAAGAGGGGAACATTAAAGGAGGCTCCGGATCAACCCTCTCCTTGTCCACTTGCCAATCCGAGGAGCCCAGGGAGGGTCGGAAACACATGGTGAGATGCACTCACCATGACTCAATTCAGTGAGATGGGTTTGAACGATTTCTCTATTCTGAGCGGGCCGACGTTTTGCAGAAAGAAGAAAATTAATGAGGGAAGACCTTTATTAACATCTTTGATGAATGCAGTAAGTACATTCTCTCCCACAGTCTGTGAACTAAACAAAAGAAGTTCAAGTTTCTGAATTTTGAAACTCTGAGATAAGCAACTCATGGGGATGGGCATGCTACAACTCAGCTGTATCAAAAATACAACACTATAAATGACATCTTTGCAACAAAAAAATCAAAATCAGCATAAGGGAAATCATCGTGTTGATTTGTGTAAACATTCGCTATTAGAAGTGCATATATATTTTCACTGGGTTTTTTTTTGGTGTGTGTGTCTACTTTTAGTCCTAAATTCCTATAACGAGGGGCTTTTCTATAAATTACTCTGTATGGCCTCAAGTCCATGCCATCATTTAGTATTTGATGATGAGACACATTCCTTCAACAGATGGATTTAGAAGTAAATCACAGGGGCGCCTGGGTGGCTCAGTTGGTCAAGCGTTGGACTCTTGATTTCGGCTCAGGTCGTGATCTCGGGGTGGTGAGATCGAGCCCCGTGTCAGGGGCTCAGCGGGGAGTCTGCTTGAGATTTTCTCTCTCTCTCTCCCTCTGCCCCCCCATACTAATGCACACCCACGCACATGCTCGCTCTCTCTAAAATAAATAAATCTTAAAAAAAAAAGTGTAAATCACGTATTTGTAATGTAAAGATTCCAATTTTAAATTCCCAATTGTATTATGATTAATACAGGCAACATGATGATGCTTTGCGTGCCTAGTGTTTTGTAATTCATACACTGCTTTTACACACATCTCTTCTCACATACTCTGGTAAGGTAGCTCACTTTCAAACCAATGACCTTATGCTGAGAGAGGTTAAAGCTCTGTGATGCAAGGCTGCCGCAGTGGACGAGTCATGACCAGAACCCAGACTTACTAAAGGCATTCCTTTCCCCCGCAGCACAGAGATTCTCACTCAGTCGTGTGATAAACAACACAGAGCCTCTATACCCATCATCTGTCTATCCATCCAGTCTCATCTATTCAATAGAGTCTGGAAGCTTCAAGATCCAGAAATTTCTTCTGCGGCAGAAATTATGGATAATAGGCCCCATCAAGCTGACCAGCAATGTGTTTGTTCTTTTCTTTTTTTTAAAAGATTTTATTTATTTGACAGCGTGCAAGAGAGCACAAGCAGGGGGAGCGGCAGGGAGAGGGAGAAGCAGACTCCCCACTGAGCAAGGAGCCCGACGCGGGGCTCGATCCCAGGGCCTGGGTTCATGACCTAAGCCGAAGGCAGATGCTTAACCGGCTGAGCCACCCAGGCGCCCCCATTCATTTCTTTATTCCACCACAAGGTATTAGCCACCCACCTGTCCACACCAGAACCTCATTAGGCACTGGGGACCTGGGCATATGCAAAGCAGGATGTGCCAGAGTCCCTCCCGTTAAGTTCAAACAATGTACACATGCAGTCTGCTGCTGTTAGTCGGTTAACTGATCAAAATTCAATGCCAGGTGCAATTAGCGTCACAGAAGGTGAGACGCAGGTCCGGGAGATGAGGCAAGGGAAAAGGAAAATCGTGGGAAGGCAGCGAAGAAAATGAGCAGAGTGAGAAATAAGGGAGAGATACGAAAGAGCTGGGTGGATGAACCCCAGAGAAGGAGAAGGGAAGTCACGGGAGTGGGTGGGTGGGGAAAGCGAGGCTCCAGAAAGGAAAGACAGGAAGGGGGGGAAAAGGGAATTTGGAAGCAGATAGATAATGGGAAAACACAAGTGAGGGAATGAAAGTTGGGGAGCCCCTACCGTGTGTGGGGCTACGGGGTGTCTGCCTGCAGTCAGGGGCAAGGAACAGCGCTGCATGGAACACGGCTTACCGGCTGCTCGGTGACACGGTGAGCCTTCCTGCCGCAGGGCTGTCAGTCTCGACTGACGAGCGAAGGAAAGAGGGAGCAGAGCTACACTAACATGAAAATGGAAAGCAGACAAAATGGAAGAAGGAGAGCACTGGGAAGCCTCGTGAGTTCAAGCTGTCCTTTGAACACAACCACACACCAAGGCTAGGAAGGCCCCCTTCCTTCCTGCCACCAACGAACCTAGTGATGGGACACTCAGCACAATCTTCAATGCAGAGACCCAACCACCCAGGGTGTTTGTAAGTCGTTTCCAACACATGATCCTAGGTTTCTCCCGTTTTTGGACTGTTACTTATGAAAGATGAAAAATGCTTTTTTAAAATTTTATTTATTTGACAGAGAGGAAAAAGAGAGCCCAAGTGGGGAGCGGCAGGCAGAGGGAGAGGGAGAAGCAGGCTTCCCGCTGAGCAGGGGGCCCAACACGGGGCTTGATCCCAGGACCCCGGGATCATGACCTGAGCCCAAGGCAGACACTTAACTGACTGAGCCACCCAGGCGCCCTGAAAAATGCTTTTTATGACAAAACGTAATCAACCAGAAACTGTGGGTATTTTAAAATCTACTTGGTAATTTGGAAAGGAGATCCGTGAAAACCAGTTGATAAAGAAGATATAGAAAAATTTAAGGTAGGGGCGCCTGGGTGGCTCAGTTGGTTAAGCGACTGCCTTCCGCTCAGGTCATGATCCTGGAGTCCCAGGATCAAGTCCCGCATCGGGCTCCCTGCTCGGCGGGGAGTCTGCTTCTCCCTCTGACCCTCCCCCCTCTCATGCTCTCTCTATCTCATTCTCTCTCTCAAATAAATAAATAAAATCTTTAAAAAAAAAAAAAAAAGAAAAATTTAAGGTAAGACTTGAGAGAGTTCACCACGATCTGTGCTTGAGACACTGTAGGATGCTGATGAAACTATATTGTACTAGGAACGCTTGCCCAAATCTCCCAGGGGAGGATCAAAGGGATCTAGAGCTGCTAGTCTTAACTAGAATAAGGAACAAATCAACCACGTACAAATACCATATGTACGTTCCAACTCCTTGTGATCGTGAGAAGGCTTTTCAGGAGAAATCTAAAATACCTGACGGTTAGGGTGCCCGGGTGGCTCAGTCAGTTAAGTGAGCCGGCTCTTGATTTCGGCTCAGGTCATGATCTCAGTGTCGTGAGATGAAGCTAGCCCCGCACTGGACTCTGCACTGGGCGTGGAGTCTCCTTGAGATTCTCTCTCCCTCTCCCTTTGCCCCCTCCCCCTTCCCAAATAAAATAAAATACTTGATGGTGACACACAGAGGAGCCCAACAGGACCATGACGTTTCTGTATTTGCTGGAGCGAAAAATGACTTTTGGGAAGGTGGTGCAATTCCTGCTGCAGACTGTTCGTTACGCTTTAATTACAGTGACGTGCTTTCAGTTTCTCAGAAACACCAAACCTGCCTAAGGCATGGGTGCAGGCTATGCTCCTGGCCCACTCTGGCCACCTGGCCAACATGCCCCTTCATTCTCCTTGCTCTCCAGCTCTCTATCGTTCATCTCTTCTTTGGGCTGCGTGCTTGCTCCCCGAGAGCAAGCACCATGTTCAGTTTGGCTCACCACTGAGTACGCAGCACCTACTATATACCTACAGTGTACAGCTGACATGTGGAATCCAGGAAAAACACAAAGAAATGAGAAATGGGCCTCAAGCCAAGGTAAGGTAGAAACCAACCCTTTTTCGTCCTCTCCTCCCCTCCGATAATGAAGAGGAAGCCTGTCTCTAACATAATCTGGAGCAGCTGAGGCTCTGCTTTTGGGAGACCCGTCCCTGTGGTCACACTGCTGACTGCACACAGGTGGCCTCGTCCTCCTGGGGCCCAGCACCATGAGCATAGCCTGGCTCTTCAGGGGACCCCTGGGTGGCCTCTCAGCTTCAATGGCGTCCCTTCCTTTCCCTCTCGTAGGGATCTCAAGAGGCCTCAACCCCATGATTGTAACGCTGCAAGCATTCTACTTTAAGAGAAAGTTACAGGTGCGCCTGGGTGGCTCAGTTGGTTGGGTGTCTGCCTTTGGCTCAGGTCATGATCTCAGGGTCCTGCTCAGCGGGGAGCCTGCTTCTCCCTCTCCTCTGCCCCTGCTCATGCTCTCTCTTGCTCTCTCTCTCAAATAAATACAATCTTTAAAAAAAGAGAGAGACAGAGAGAAACTTATAAAGGGCTAAAAAAAAACCTGATACCAGATTTATTTTTAAATGTGGCTTCTGGGGTGTCTAAAAATCACTCATGGTGATGGCTGAAGGCAGTATAAGATCTTGACTCATCAAAGAGAAGTTCAATTATAGGCCATGTGTAGTTTTACATAGATTTAGTTGGATCGGATTTCTTTGGAAACGGACTCACCACATACATCCAGCGTATGGATGAACACTCAGCTAGCTAGAATATGGATCTGATCCAGACAGCCTTCTTCCTGACTCTTTCAGATGAACAACGGCTTCTCCGCCTTTCCCTTTCCTGGCTGACCTAAACAGAACGTGAATTTGCGGGGCTGCGTACACGTGCGGCAGTTTGAGAATGCTCAATAATGAATATTAGAAACACGGAAGAGTTTCTGTTACTGACAGCACAGGCTTGAGAAGCTGCACAACTAATTTTAGTATAACCCGGAGCGTAAGGCAAATCCTGGGATTCTATCTTGGATCCGAGGTCCTCAAGATGCATGAGAGAGAAAACCAAGTGAGTTGGTAGAACTGCAATGCATACTTCATGTAAACATAAGGCTTTCCTAGAAGTCGGTTCTTTCAAAGTCACCAGCGGCTTTGGAAATTTGGACAGGGCATGTGGTATCTCCATTATGAATGAATCGTGTACCCAAGTTCCCACATGCCCGTCCACTTCAA